CCTAATTCATATCATTCTCATCAGGATCAAAGCCAGCAATCAAGAGAAGATTGGTCCTTCATAGGATCTAGTCTTGTAATTAGAAATAGTGAGATTGAGAGTGAAAGAAGAGTTTGGAGGTAGTACCGGCCTGTCGGTGCTTTCTCTACGGCTTGTACCTTGGCGGATTCAAGTTCTACCTGAGCTTGCGTCTGAGATTTATCTAGTAATCAACTTCTGATTCAATTAAGTATCATGTTTATATTGTTCTTCAGGTTTACAACTCTTTTGAGTGCTTTAATCTATTGGCCATAGGTTAAAGTATTATTTGTAGTGTAAGCGTGGTGCTTAGACTCGGTTACTCGTGGATGTACCCTACATTTCGAATCGGTGGTAGTTCGCGAGGGTGACTCTTATAGCCTCGTTGAATTCTTTGTAGTCCACCTCTCGTTTGTAGGCTGAGCAGGACCTAGCTACTATAGGAAACATACTCTGCCTGTGTTTCTCTTAGTAACATCCCCAGAATTGAACAATAGAAGACATAGTTTACCGACATTATGACTCGAAGACCTTTGTGATCTCCTCTATACTCCTGTTATCTTAAGTCTTGTTGCTACTCTGGTTAAGTTAGATTGTAGTTAATCTCACACGTTTTTCTGTGGATACGATACTTGGAATACTTCCGGGTGAAAGCTACAGCAGTATCCGTGCACTTGCGGATCTTTTTCTGTGTGCGTTAATAAATACCAACATCTACAACATCATATCTGTCTAACCTTCAGACCAACAAGGCCAGAGATAAAACATCAATATTATATATGATATGCCTAAGTGTAAGAACAACTAGGAAGGCATTATGTACATGTTAGGTTTATTCTGCTGTACATGGTCAGGCAGGTTTTCCCCAATGTTATGCCTCCCCAGCTGTAGCTGTTGTCTATGCTTGATTGGTAAATTCCATATTGTAGTATCCATGGGTGTAGAATTTTGTCTCGATTTCACTAGATTAGTTTAGACCTTGTCCTTGCAGATCTGCTCGAAATTGAATCTGAAGTCCCTAGATGCTAGGCCATAACCCATAATTCTGTTTTGACCGAATGCAGCATGCTAGTGATTTTTAATCTGGGACAACTTAATAGTGTTGTTTTTTTACTTGTATTTTCTGTGTATCGCCTTGTATTCTCAGTGTAATAATTTTTTTTATTTTCAAAGAAGGATACGATCTTCTGTGCACCTATTGCTAAGTGATCAAATTTATGGTACTGTTGTCCAAGCATGTCACCTGGAGTCTACTACTATATTACCATATCTTGTTCTTGTAATGATTAGTTGGTAAGTTGAGTTTCATCCTAGTTTAAATTAAAGCTGACTATACACGTTCTGTTTAAGTAGCCTTCTCATGCTTGATAAGTGTGATACAACAAATATTTGCTCTCTGCCTTTGTCTGTAATTTAAGTTCATTTAGTAATATTTCATACTTTTTTATTGACCTGTCAAGGTACCTATATAGTATTTACCAAAGGAAGATTAGTATTTTATAGATACACTAGATCAGATAGTTTCTACTAGATGGAGAATCACTCAAATAGCACTCAGTTCAGTCAAAACAGTTACAGAGAACAATTCCATAAGCAATGCTACAGAATGAGTAGGCCACCCTTTTAATAATCTGTAGAAATTTTGAAGTCCAACTGATATTTACATAGTACTATCTGTTATCAGCTAACCACCACCCATGGTGCCGACATGGACAGCAAGGACATATGGACGACGACGACTTGTGTTTTGAACAGCTTATGCTAGTCTTTTGTCTTTTGAACATGTATGGTTGAGCTTAGATAACTTAGTACAATGTTAGATGGTCTTAGCTAAAAGCAGGACGTGGCCTGTAACATGGCTGTACATGAATAACTTAGGAAGCTGTGCTGGTGGTAGTAGTAGAATTTTAGATGGACTTGTAATTTGTGAGGTCTTATTTTGGGATTGGAATCAGATGCATATATCCAGTATTGGAATTTATTGTATTTGTGTTCTGGATTGACATTTGGACCATATGCGTGCATTTGGAATTTGGATTGAGATGCTCACGTTGGGTAATTTTCATGGTGGTTTATACTCTCACGAAATAACTTGTTTTCATGGTGGTGTTCTCTCACGAAATACTATATTCTCCGTGTGTTTGTGATACTCTCTCGAAATCAATTTCATGAGGGTGACTCTCACGAAATACAAAACTCTCACGAAATTCATTTCATGACGGTGACTCTCACGAAATACCGAACTCTCACGAAATCAGTTCATGACGGTGACCTCTCACGAAATAGCACAAAATACCGCCACAAAAACACTGATGCAAACCTTGGTGGCAACGTTGGGTGGCCGTCACGGACTCCCGCCACGAAAAGAATCCGTGGCGGTGAACTCTCATGAAAATTGGATTTTTGTGTGTCTATTATTATCGTGAGAGTTGATGCGTGACGATGTACCCTCACGTATTATTTTCGTGAGAGTAAAACTATATTTCGTGACATGTTTTGTACTCTCATGAAATCTCCAGTTTCCGGTTGTGATGCATACATACATGAGTGCAATTGTTCTTGTGACTGAACTTACCATGATGTATCGATGTCCCCACTTCGGTGCGCCTCTGAACTTTGCTTTTGTTTAGTCTCGGTCGTCGCGGCTGCAGTTTCCAGTTTGCTACTATTCATCTGCTGGTCGAGATCTAGCTTGTGATTAAAACAAAAGCATGGTCTATCTAGAAAACGATGATCTATCATCTATATAAGACTTATTGTGCGTTGGTCATTTTTCTTCCGACTCGGAGCATGTATCTATTATCGCTGTCGATTCCTAAACATGCAGGCCATGTTCTCCGGCTGTCATCCATCAACCTGTGTATCTTCGCGGCGGAGCGACGTGACGACAATATGTGACCACTGAGGCCTCGTTCGTTTCGCTGAAATTTAGCTTATATTGATGTTTAATCTAATTTATTATGAAAGAAAAATACTATTTATTCACTGAAAAGCATTGATGAAGTAGTCGTGAAGAACAGAACAAGATCCTCAAGAGCTGCCTAGCTAGCCATTCGTCCACCGCCCCCTTCAAAAAAAAAAAGACGATCCGGTCCATCGCATGCGTATAGATAGAGAGACCCATAATGAACTAGCTGTACCCACATGAAAATAAGTACAGTACGTACCACTCATTTTGGCAGGCCGGCGGCTGAGCCTAGCTTGGAGGCGGAATCGTTTTGGGACATGTCTATATATGGACACGTACTACATCAGTGTATACCCCTGTTACCTGATCACATACTACACGCATGTGCTACGGTATGGCAGCGAGCGTACTTTTGTGCGCGTCGTGGTACGAAAGAGACACGGTCTCAGGGAAAGGACCACAGGTCGATCTTGCGTTTGCGTACCATGCATTACCCCAACACGGCAGACATTTATTTGCTGTCTCCGCCAGTGCTATCAAGGTAACTCAGGAGGATAGATATGAAAATCTTGGGTTATTATAAAATCTGGATAGTGCAAAGTTAATCTACAACATGGATACATCGTCCCTAACTATAATGTGGTCGCATTTGTTTGTTGACCTTGACATAGGTCACATATATAAATGTATGTGTATGGTATACATATACGATCACTAGGTTCATATGTCACATGGACTTTAGAAAGGAGTTAATTAAAACTTTACCATTACTAGGAATTGGATGTTTCTAAGACACGCCACTACTTCTTGCCTAATAAACCTAGTGCCCTTATAATTCTCGCTCATTCAGAGCCAAAATAAGACTTGTTTTTTTTCCAATAAAGAAATATCGTGGTATTTGCAACTTGATTAAGAATTTGAAGGAATTTCTTCACGGAAATAGTATCCTATATTCGGCTATTCCTATGCAAACATGTAAAGCATCCATACAGCTCTATCAAATAACTTTGGTACTTCGAGATCCCTAGAAATCATTTGGTATGCCATCTTTTATTGATGGTTAAAGTGAAATACAGTGAAAGCTATTTTATTTAGTACTTTTTATATAAAACATGAATTCAGTTGTTTTCCCTATATTTGCTTCCAGAGGGTCTTAATTAAACTTGGAAAGCCTCCTAGGCCACATAAATAAAGGTTAAATGATTCTATTGTCTATCTTCTGTTCTTCAGACAAACGACATTTGCATTTGACGTTCAATTTATCTTTGATACCACTGGAGACTTCTTCTAAAGAAAAAGACACAAAGACAAAAACTATTCATGGGCCAGTTTGAAACAATATGAAAGGGCGAGGACCAAACCCGAAAATCAGCCGCCGCAGAACACGGTTCTCTTCTTTTTCCTGTCGGACGAAGCCTACTACAGTACTACTACTGCTCCTTGGTCCTTGCCATTTGAACTCAACTCACTGGACAGCTGCTCTATTTAAATTTAAATTTAAAATAGACGCGCACCTACACCTGGTTCTGCGCAGGCACGCGGCGGCACCGGCAAGCGGCAATCGTCTCATGTGCTCCCCACCCCATGCGCATGTTTGGAATGAAGAAATTTAAAACATAGAAATAAAAAAACACAAAAAATAAAGTATGATGAAAAATAAAAAATTACAGGATTTCAAAACATAGGAATAAAAAATTTAAGCTGTTTAAAACATAGAAATTTATAACATAGAAATTGTAACGTTAGACAAATATAGATACTTATCGATGCAAGCTTCAGCGCTAAGCGTGAGCGCAAGCACCGTAAGTAAATTTTCTCTTGGATCTGACCTGTTTTTTTCTTTCCTCCGAGAGTATAAGCTTCGTTGCCGTTCCTCTGGAAAGATTCGTGCCGCTTCCTTCGTTCCAAACGCGCGCAGACAATCATTTCCTCCGGAACTCAATCCTCACTCTTCCTCCGTTTTTCCTTCTTTCGGCCTTAACGCACTCTCCAGCCTCCACTCTCCAACTCCTTCGCGGCGGGGTTTTGGCGCACGGCAGGCCATTAGCGCCGCCGCGGCGAGCGCCGAGAGGAAATGGGCGGCGACGGCGGAGGAGCCGCCGGCAGCGGGGACGGCACGAGGGCGCTGGACCAGACGCCGACGTGGGCCGTGGCCGCCGTCTGCGCTGTCATCGTCGCGGCATCCATCCTCCTCGAGGGCCTCCTCCACCACCTCGGGCAGGTTCGCCGGCCCCAACCATCCCCTCCCGGCTTCCCCCATCAATCCCTCTCTCCCATGACATTTTTTTTTATCTTTCAGCTTCGTTTGCTTTCCTTTATTGATTCGTTTGGTCTGATTCTGTCTTGAGCCTTTCAAATGACCCTCTGCTGCGTGTTTTCTGATTTGTTTTCTGCTGCGGGTGCTGCTGCTCTGCCCCAGTTGCTCAACGAGAAGCGGAAGATAGCGCTGTTCGACGCTCTGGAGAAGGTTAAATCCGGTAAGAGATTGAGCTGCATTCTTTTCTAGTACTGCGAACCTTCAGTCACTGCTGCTGTCGTCCGTAGGCGAAGTAGAATTTGACGCGTTTTCGAGTTCCGTGTGCACAGAGCTGATGACTCTGGGGTTCATATCGCTGCTGCTGACCGTGACGGGAAGGTACATAGCGCACATCTGCATCCCGGAGGGAGCCGCCAACACCATGCTGCCCTGCAGTCGGTCCGGCCACTCGGTGGCGGAAGAGCCGAAGGGGCAGGGCCATGGCCGACGGCACCTGTCTGAAGATCCGAGCAACCTTTTTTCCTGCCCCAAAGTGAGTCACTAAGGTGGCATGATTTGTCTTATTTGAAACCTTGGATGCCCAGATGTATGCAAGGTTAATCAAATAGCCCATTGTCCTGTTGTTTGGATTTGGCTTCATCCGAGGAGAGACGCCAGGCGATTCTAGATTGTGATGTTCATCTGTGCTAATCCAAATGACGGTGGCAGGGCATGGTGTCGCTTGTTTCAGCCGACGGCATGCATCAACTGCACATTTTCGTGTTCTTCTTGGCCGTCTTCCATGTTACTTTCAGTTTCTTCACAATGTCCTTGGGTAGAGCAAAGGTATCGTTGGTCTTGGCCCTACTTTGTGCTGGTTTTCTTTTCTCAAAGCACTCATGGACAAAGCTTGCAAGCTTGCATTAATTCTGGATGTTTCTTTGCAGACTCGTATATGGAAGGTGTGGGAAAAGGAAACTTGCTCCCCTGAGTATAATTATTTAAATGGTACTGTATATTTTGATTGGCTACTTTTTTTAGTATGCCTTTATGTAAAAATATATAACATACAATTGCTAAAATCATTAAGTCATGCATAGTTGGTTTGATATTTATTTGTTTACTAGTATCAAGCTGTTTTGGTTTGTCCACTAAAATGCAACTTTATGTCATATATTTAACTTATGCAGACCCCTCAAAGTTCAGGCTTACGCACCAAACATCTTTTGTGAGGCAACATGCAAGCTGTTGGAGCAAAAGCACAATCACGCTCTATTTTGTAAGTCATTTCATCGCTCCTTTCTGTGGCTACAATAAGTTTCGTAGATTACGTAATACTTTCTTCTCAATTAACACTTAACACACACCATCTGAGTGGTGTCCTGTACAAAAGTCAAACATGTAAAACGATCTAGCGGGCCGTTTTGGGCCAAGAAATAACAAATCAGGTGGGGATTATGCCCCCCCACCCCCACCCCCTCCCCCGTTGACCTTAAAAAACACACACACAAAATACTTTGTATAGGTAATATTGGATATGAAGGGTTTGTACTCTACACTTGAAGTCTTGAACATATTGTTTATTTCATGTATAAATTACTGAACAAGGGAGTAAGCGACCCAAAAGGTCTCCAGAATTTTACAGCAAAAATTTAGTAACAAAATGATTATACACCAGTGATAAAGTGATCGAACTAAACTTTAATGCTTCTTCTAATGATGTTCTGTGCACATGGAACCTATAAATGAACCTACTGACTTCAGGGCCCATTGCTGTATGCTTACACTGATATAAAACCATAGGTGAGCTTCTTTAGGCAGTTCTTCAGATCCGTTCGGAGGACAGACTACCTTACTTTGCGACACGGATTCATTTCGGTAAGTAATTTCTGATTCATTTCAGATCCGTTCGGAGGACAGACTACCTTCAGATCCGTTTAGGTTGCTGAAAAATCATTTTATAGGCTCATTTATCTCCGGGAACTAGGTTCAATTTTCAAAAGTACATCAAAAGGTCCTTGGAGGATGATTTCAAGACAGTTGTTGGCATTAGGTAAGAAATGTTGACAATTTACTATACTTTTTTAATGCAAACTGTCCAAATTAGAAAAATTCAGGCATTTCTAAGTGTCTTACTCGATAGATGAGTATACTAATCACAAATATGCTTCTGTCTAAGGATTTGATCAGTATACTTTCTTTGTTCATGTTCTTTGATAAAATTATGATTTAAATATTCTGCTTTTGTTTTTGAAAAATGAATATGCGGTTATAACACTTAGTTTCTTTACTCAAGTAATGTTCTGCTTATTTCGTTATTATTTCTTGTTTCATCTTCCTAATAATTATTTACCCATTTGTATCATCAATTAATTTATCAGTCCACCGTTATGGGCTTCTGCTTTGGCTGTCATGCTCTTCAATGTTCATGGTGAGTTATATAATCTTGATCTTATTTCCTGAATATCATCTTCCAGAAAACTATTATGAGCATTCTCCCGTCAAACTGAACTATCAGATCACACAGAAATTAGAGCTTACACTCCAAATGTTCATCCATTTGGTTATCGCTTATGTGTGATTTGGCAGAAATGGTACTAATTTCTTTTGATTTGGATTTTGCTTTGTCCAGGATGGCACAACTTGTTCTGGTTCTCTACGATTCCCCTTGTAGTAAGTGTTTATAGTGTTAATTTCTTATCCCTTTTTGGTAAAGGTTTTGTTTGGTTGGTGCTAAGTGCTAACAGTGCTTTCCTCCATGTAGGTGATTCTGGCAGTTGGAACAAAGCTGCAGGCTATAATTGCTATGATGGCTATTGAAATTACAGAGCGGCACACAGTTATTCAAGGCATGCCAGTGGTAAAACTGAGTGATGATCATTTCTGGTTCGGGAAGCCTCGTTTGGTTCTCCACCTCATCCATTTCGCATCATTTCAGGTCAGTAAAGGCCCAGAAAGGTACCTTAGCAAGAAGCATGCTAACTTGAACGTAAAGCATCCATAGAAACTTATGCATGGAACGATGATGATTATTATGAACAGTTAACATCTGGACAGCAGTATGAACTAAAGTTGAACTCAAATAGTTGCCGGAAAAGAAGATAATGACATAAGCAGATAATATTTCATTTAGCATATAATGATTTTGCCTGCATCTTCTATATGCACCTGGACAATTAAAATTGAGGTCTCAAGGCTGCTGAGCATAGTTGATTTTATCTAACAGCTATTCTTTAATTTGTTCTTGCAGAATGCATTTGAAATTACATATTTCTTTTGGATTTGGGTAAGATTGCTTTCGACATTCGGAGACATTTTCTGTGGAACAATTGTAGTCTGTGTCAAGTCTTTGCTCATGACAAACATCTGTGCAGTACGAATTTGGCCTGAGGTCCTGCTTCCATGACAACTTTGAGCTTATCATTGCAAGAGTCTGCCTTGGGTTAGTTTCTGTTGCTTTTGCCGTTTCATTATTGTTCAGAAATCTCTACTTCTTATTGACCATTTTCGTTCTTTGTTTTACAGAGCTATCGTCCAATTTATGTGCAGCTATATCACTCTTCCACTCTATGCCCTTGTGTCTCAGGTGAACACACATTCACATTTCTTACTGATATTTTCTCAGAAGAGAGATAACTGAATTACTTCACTCCGTAGTAGCATTCAGAACTCAGAAGAGCTGCCAAACTCATTGAGCTAGTACTGGTTTTGCCAAATGCGATTGTCTTTTGGAAGACTAACTTGGAATTGGTTTGTTTTCCAGATGGGTTCACAAATGAAGAGAACAATTTTCGACGAGCAGACAGCAAAGGCCCTGAAGAAATGGCACAAGGCCGTGGTGAAGAAGAAGCACCACAAGGGTTCATCCCACGACTCTTCCGAGACACCTAGCACGGACACAACAACACCGGCAAGCAGGGAGGCCGGCGAGTGGCAGCGGCTGCACGAGGTGCCGGTCCGGCACCTCCGCCGGTACAAGACCATCGCGCACGTAGGCGGCGCGAGGAGCCCGCTGTCGGACTCGGACTACAGCGACACGGACGACACCGAGCCGCTGTCGTCGTCGCAGACCAGGCACCTGATACCGCCGGCGAAGCAGCGGAGCCTCGACACCGAGCGCGCGGAGGTGCGCGTGGACGTCGTAGAGACGGCGGCAGACAGCTTCTCGTTCCCAAGGCTGCTTCCTCCTCGCCATGTGCCGGACAAGTCAAGTGAACATCAGCCTGCTTAGTACTACTACAGACTGTCCTATATAGGGATAATAGAATAGTAGTTTCAAAGTATAAGTGTTTTTGGTTTTTCTATGCTACGTCTATGTAGCGAAAGTTATGAATTTAAAAAAGCCAAAAGGATTTATAGTTTGAAATGGAGTAATAATAGTATAGTAGACTAGTAGTCGAAGCTAACCTACATGAGAGTGTTTTCTAGTCTTTAGATGATCGTAATCCAGATTCTTAGTATAGCTGCCTGTAAGTGATGTCTGGACTGATGACTTGGAATGTTTGTTTTTTGGGGCTAATTCAGGGGTTAGAACCAGCGATGGTTAATTTTCTTGGACGCTAAGTGATTGATTGCACATTTGCACGGGACAGTAAAGCCGAGTGAAATCGGTGGAGCCTTCGCTTAGAGGGCACTTTTGCTGCACGCCTGTACCGTCAAACTGAGCAATGATAGGCAGAGGAGCTGAATAAGAAGCTAAGGTGATACTGCTGCTACTAATCATCCAGTGGAACACGAACCTTGGCATGAAATTATCCTACCAGTAATGAGGCTCACTGTTCACCGATGCTATCATTGAACAGCAACTTGAGCTTTTTTTTCTTCTTCTTTTCGATGAGTCGTCACTCTGCTTGTACCTCTGACCTTTGGGCTTTAGCAGTTTGAGCCAATCGATTTCTCTACTGGGCCCAATTTGGGCCGCACCACTCTCCAGTCTCCAAAAGTCCAAATGGCCTACTACCACCACCAGTCCACCACTAGGCTGTTCCTGGCCGGAGATTCCCTCCTCGATCCCTTCCCTTGCCGCTCCAACAAATGCGAATGCACCTTCCCGCCTTCCTCGCCGACCACCGCCGCGTCCTCTCCTCCTCTCGCACCACGCTTGCGACGCTCACCCGCCTACACGCGCTCCTCGTCGTTTCCTCCTCCCAGCACCTCCTGTCCTCGCTCGCTGCCGCATACGCCCGCGCCGGCGCGCTCGACGCTGCGGAGTCCACACTCGCCGCCTCCCCCTCCCCGTCCCCCTCCTGCATAGCCGCCTGGAACGCGCTCCTCTCCGCGCACTCCCGCGCCGGCAGCCCCGGCGCCGCGCTCCGCGTCTTTCGCGCGCTCCCTCCCTCCGCGCGGCCCGATAGCACCACCTTCACGCTCGCGCTCACCGCGTGCGCGCGCCTCGGGGACCTCGACGCCGCTGAGGCCGTCAGGGTCCGCGCGTTCGCGGCCGGGTACGGTCGCGACGTGTTCGTCTGCTCGGCGCTGCTCCACCTCTACTCGAGATGCGGAGCCATGGGAGACGCCATCAAGGTGTTCGATGGAATGCCGAGGAAAGACCGCGTCGCGTGGAGTACGATGGTTGCTGGGTTCGTGAGCGCTGGGAGACCCGTGGAGGCGCTTGGGATGTACAGTAGGATGAGGGAGCATGGCGTGGTAGAGGATGAGGTGGTCATGGTTGGGGTTATACAGGCATGCACGTCAACTGGGAACATCCGAATGGGGGCCTCTGTTCATGGCCATCTCTTGCGGCATGGTATGAGGATGGATGTTGTTACTGCCACGAGCCTTGTGGACATGTATGCCAAGAACGGGCATTTTGATGTGGCACGCCAAGTCTTTAGAATGATGCCGTACAGGAATGTTGTCTCATGGAGCGCGCTGATTTCTGGGTTTGCACAGAATGGCCGTGCAGATGAGGCACTTGATTTGTTCAGAGAGATCTCAACTTCAGGGCTTCAGCCTGATTCAGGGGCACTTGTTAGTGCACTGCTTGCTTGTGCTGGTGTGGGGTTCCTGAAGCTAGGGAAGTCGATACATGGTTTCATCTTGAGGAGGCTTGAGTTTCAATGTATTTTGGGTACAGCTGTGCTTGACATGTACTCCAAATGCGGCTCCTTGGAAAGTGCCCAAAAGCTTTTCAATGAGCTTTCCTCAAGAGACTTGGTTTTGTGGAATGCGATGATTGCATGCTGTGGCACTCATGGATGTGGTCATGATGCCCTTGCTCTGTTCCAAGAACTGAATGAAACCGGAATAAAGCCTAGTCATGCAACATTTGCTTCTCTTCTGTCGGCTCTGAGCCACTCTGGTCTTGTGGAGGAAGGGAAATTCTGGTTTGATCGCATGATTAAGGAGTTTGGAATTGAACCTGCAGAAAAGCACTATGTATGTATAGTTGATCTCTTAGCACGTTCTGGTCTTGTGGAAGAAGCCAATGAAATGCTTGCATCAATGCAAACTGAACCGACCATTGCAATTTGGGTCGCTCTGCTTTCAGGTTGCTTGAATAACAAGAAGCTAGAGCTTGGGGAAACCATAGCGAAAAAGATCCTTGAGTCACAACCTGAAGACATTGGTGTCCTTGCACTGGTATCGAATCTCTATGCTGCTGCAAAGAAGTGGGACAAGGTCAGGGAAATCAAAAAGCTAATGAAGGATAGTGGCAGCAAGAAAGTGCCTGGCTACAGCTTGATAGAGGTCCATGGAACACGTCATGCATTCGTGATGGAAGACCAGAGCCACCCTCAGCATCAGGAGATCTTGAAAATGGTCTCAAAGCTCAGTTCTGAGATGAGGAAGATGGGCTATGTTCCAAGAACAGAGTTTGTGTACCACGACCTGGATGAAGACGTGAAAGAGCAGCTTCTCAGCTACCACAGTGAGAGGCTGGCCATCGCCTTTGGTTTGCTGAACACCAGCCCTGGAACGAGACTCGTGATCATCAAGAACCTCAGGGTCTGCGGTGATTGCCATGATGCCATCAAATTTATCTCGAAGATTGTGGATAGAGAGATTGTTGTTAGAGATGCGAAGCGGTTCCACCATTTCAAAGACAGAGCCTGTTCTTGTGGAGATTACTGGTGATTGTCTGTTGAGGCACAAATGTCCACTCTGTAGCTTGGACAGTTCACTCTCCTTGTGCCGATTTTTTGGTCCAGTTGGCTGCAGAGAACCAGCAGATCGAATATCAGTTGTGTACAAGTAAACTTGGCCCAATCTTTTGATTCACCAGAGAAAGAGCCTCAAACATCCTTTGATGCAAAACAAACAGTTCTCTGAACCTTGTGCTGATTTTAGTTTAGTTGACTGGAAAGAACTAACATAAAAGAAGAGCAGTTGTCATGTTCATTCAAATCGGACCTCAAAAATCCTTTGATTCACTAGTAGACAAAAGGATAAAGAGATGACATGTTGAGATGATGAAATAAGTTTCCTCCAGTCAACTGAAGTACTAAACGGTCCTCTTAAACAATCTTTTGATGCAAACACATAGTTGGCCAGGTCTGCCTCTTTCTTTCTTACAGCATCCACTTACCTATATATCAATGGAGTCGTAGCATATAGCTCTACAACCAGGGAGATTCGCCGGGACCATGCATTCTTTTTCCTGTTCTGGAACTCCAAACTAAGCATCTGCAGATGAGGCGATAGTTGAGATGCACACAGTTCTGCGTTTTCTCCTCACAGCCTACGTCCAAAACCAAAAGCATGGGGGAACGCGCAACTCAGCATGTTGCACTTTCTCCACTGCTTTACTACAATCTTGGAACATGGACAAAGGATGAACAACTGTATGATTCAGTTGAACAAATGGTTCAAAGCAGGGATTAGAGTCACACTAGGCTTACACAATAATACTAGTTGTACAACTCAGTTACTCAGACATAGAGGTTGTATGGCCATTTCCATTCAGCAAAACACTGATTTGTGAGGGAAAAGAAATCTGCCCAAGTCTGTGGGTCAAAGGAAGATTTCACTAGGATTCTTGTCCTATTGTCTCCATGATAAGAAAACACGGTTCCATAAGGGTCAGAGCTATGGCTTCATTGGGGTCAACTGACCCCGGCGAATTTTGAGAATTCCAATGGAAAATTGCTGTATGTAGTGCTAATAGTTCCTAATGACCCCACCCATTCTCAGAGAAGAACCCAGTGGTCATCTGGTCTGGATTTGCCCTTGGGTTCCATCATTCCACACTCCATTGATATCCTCTCATCACAGCGTCTGCTGTTCCATTTGGGCAATTTGATTGCTCAAACCTCTGGATTATGAGGGCAACCACCATGATGGTGAAGGATCGTGCTAACCCCCGCTGGCGAAGTGACCCCTGTGTTCATGCAGCTTCAAGTGAGCTACTTGCTACAGCCTTTGCTCCTCACATTTTTAGGCTTGACAGTACTTGTTGATCTGCATGGGCATCATTTAGTGTATCCTTCTAGTCCAGATGCATCAGTATGCACAGGTAGTTTACATTCGTGCCACGATTGCAAAATGGCCCATTTTTACTTCCATTGTTCTTTGCATGCTAGACAGTGACAGGCACATGGAGCTGCTTTAGGAGATGCGAAGAATGCTACAGGAGCAAAACCACAAGATGTAATCCATGTATAGGGAGAATCAAGAGCTCAATGAAAAGTTCCCTTCCTAGTGGAAGTAAGAGTTTGTTCTTCAGTCCCTAGAAGCTTATGTATGCCCAAGATGTCATGCTTGGGATAATCTTTTGTGTAATCTGTTATCTATGCATGTTTTATGGTTACCGCTTAGGTCCAAGGGGTGTACTGTGAACAACTTATTCCATAAATGCATTCTGGCAGTTTGTGAACCTAAGTGGTACACCGTGACAATTTCATGGATAGCCTGTGTATTTAACTATTTCAAATATTAGATATTTGCTGGAATACTTGACAATAACAAGTAGTAGAGTATCATGTGATTGTTTAATGCTAAGCAGCAAACTGCATGCACACCCATAATCGCAGAAGAAAAGTGTATGGGTCAATCATTTGATGGACCTTAAGATATGTTCAGTTACATACGTAATCAAGTACATTGTTGAATTTTCATGAAACTAGGTGCCATTTTTCACTTCTGGTAACTGATTTCTTTAAGTTCTGCTGATGGGATAAGTAGACTTGGTGGTTACTCCAGCAATCTCCTGCCCCCAGGTATCTTTGCATGAATACTATGAGGTTCATTTTTCTTGTACAATGTTTTTAAGTTGTACATTGAAATACCTGC